CTTGTTAACTGATTAATCGTCGATATTGATAGCCATATACCTCAAAAACCGGACGGCACCCACTTCCAAAAAATAGCTCAATGTAGTGGTTCTTCTTTAATTAATATAATCTGAATTCGCAAAGTAGGCAGAATACGAAATAAGTTTAGAGTGAACTTATTTTTCTGAAAGTTTCTCTTTTCTCATAAATGTAATATTTATATTTAAGGTCATTTTTTTCCGGTTCAGTCCGGATAAATTAAAGCCAATTAAGAGACTTTACTGTTTCGTCGACGCAATCTGTTTTTCGTTTCGTCGAAACTTTAAAATTCCTATTTGGTCGACACAATTTTATTTCTGTTTTGTCGACAGTTTTTTTATCCTGAAACGTCGACCAAAGCTGGCAGTGTATAAAAGTAATTCCTTAAACGTCGACACAATTTTCTTCTAGCAGAATTTATAAACCGAACAGTGCACTGAGTGAGTTGGCCATATGGGCTCTAATAACTATAGTAAATTCTTTGCATATCACTCGACTATAAAGTAAAATTAATAAGTAATACAATAAAATGTACGTAGTTATCGAAACACAGAAAGGAAAACCATGTTTACTATTTAATGGCTATCGGTATTTGGAAGATAGAACGCGTAATAATAATGTCTATTGGAGTTGTGAGAATCGATCCAATTGCTCTGTTCATGCTACACAAGAAGACATTATTGCACCAGTTCTTACAGCACCACACATTCACGAACCAGATGAAAAATGTAATGCCTGTGAAGAATTTCGTACAAAACTAAAACATCTAATACGCAGAAAATACCAATAACAGATGAATCAACAATGGCTTTGTAAAGTTTTCTGTGAACTATACTACTATTTTTCTGCTCATGTATATGCATAAGGTTAATTACATAAGAAAAAGGGTCGACAATTAAGGAATTGTCGGTAGCCTTTCATCCAGGTGTGTCGGCTTTTCAGGAAAAAGAAACTGTCGACAAATCGGGATTAAAAAGTGTGTCGACAATTAAGGACAGTTAAGGGCCTGTCGACGAATCGGAAATACACCTTTTTTCCATATTCTACGTTTAAGGATAGATGTTGATTAAAACAATTTCGTAACATCCAAAAATTTTGGTTAAATATGCAAATGAATTAGTACAAAAAAATAACATATACATACATGTTCTTCTCGTTATACGCAGGCCCGTAGCCAGGATTTTTGCGAAGGGAGGCACTGATCTTTTTCGCTACGTTACTGCATTTTGATCACTACGAAAAAATGCTTGTCCGACGTCACTCATACACAGTTTTATTTTGACTGCCGTAATACTGTGAGCTGACTCTACGATATGTTCGGGACAGAGTATGGAAAGTATAAAGATACAGAAAGTTTGACGTTATTTAGCGGGGAAAAAATCATTTCTTCAACAGTTCAGGGGAGACCAGTCTCCTCATTCTTCAAACGTGAACATTAGCCAGACTGTAGCCGACATTACCATTTAAATCAAAACTAACGCTTGTATTAGATGTCAGTCTACCAGTATCTGAAAATCTTTCACTAACATCTGTTCGACTCACGATATGCGTTTTATCAGTAACTTGATAATTTTGTAATGGGGATGGCGTATTTATCGTTATATCCCTAACGCGATATGGTGCAGGAGGCCGTTCAGTTTTATCGATAACATGAAACTTTAGTAAGACTGATGAATATTTCGGTAGGGACTCATGTCTTGCTCGCTGCGATGGTTCTTGGTCGTTTGTTGATGTTCTCGGTCGTGCATCAGAAAATTTTCGTCTCCATTTTATGCGACGCTTTTTACATTTGAAATGGCTAATTTTAAATCGGAAGAAAAGGTCGAGTTTTATAACATGATAAAAACACTTATTCTAAAAACTCTAAAAACGAACTTACTGGAAGGGACACTGACGACAACAATAACAGACCCAAGCTGTGAATGCTACTAAAGTTGCGAAAGCCACTAAAAGCGCTAAACCAACTGCAAGCACTGGTATAAGATTAAATGGTGTACCTAAAACATAAATGACAAATTTTTTGTCTTCCAAACTTATTTAAGGGTGTGCCATCTCTTTTCTTTGATAATGTTCAGAAATTCTAGCTACAAAAAACAGTCTACAAATCAAGATCACTTCCGTCTTCTGCAACCTTGGATGGTTCTATCGAAAGGGTATCACGTTTACATCCACTTCATCCCTACAGTTCGAAAGTGATAGGACTACTATCCGTACCAAAATACAAGGCCGTCGCTTGCTTTTGTGAATAACTTTTGGTAGAAGATAGATAGAGAGCTGCGATTTTCAGTATTCGACAGCCAAGACCTGTGCGCATCTTCCCATAAGGAAAAATGGTTTTTATAATATAGGTTTTAATATAGGTTTTCACTAGGTTTTTGAGAGTGTTTTGAAAATAGATATTGCTACGAGATTCAGCGTGGTCGATTACCTATGTTTCCATTTATTTTCGGAATTGTCACACCTGAAGAAATACTGATCCTGGGACTCTCAGAAAATCCGATTCCATGCCTGAACCGGAAGAAATTAAGAGTTAGCTTGGTTCCCATTTTGGAGAAGACACTTTGGACTATCTATGTATGAAGAAAGATCGATCCATTTCTATGTCAGTTCTCAGAGATCCAAACTGTTTTTCCAAAGATCTGCACAAAATCGGATCTTTGAATCCTTTCAAAAACCATTTTTCCTTATGGGACGATGCGCACAGGTCTTGGCTGTCGAATACTGGAAATCGCAGCTCTCTATCTATCTTCTACCAAAAGTTATTCACAAAGCAAGTGCATCGCTGTAAATTTCTTAACGGACAAAAGGTTCCAAAATGCTAAGCACGTTCTTAGGAGGATTTTTTAAAAGATCGTTTTCTGCGAAGAGTAGATGCACATATAGATTCTAATCTAATGGTACCAATTCATGAAAGTCTTTCGCTAAAAAAGGATGAAAATGCCCAGAGAGGTCTGTTCTGCTCGGCAATAGGATCTGCACAGATCTCGATGGCCACAATGCCGTTGTTTTAAAATATTTTAAACGTGATATTCGTCATCAGGAGCTCGAATTGTACCAGTTCTATCACTTTCGAACTGTTCGGATGAAGTCGATGTAAACGTTGTACGTTTTCTAAGAACAACCTTTTTGCATTCGGAAGGTTTTTTCAAAGAAATTCGAAAAGTATCACTTTTGACATTGCTCAATGCGCCAAGAGGTTCTCTAAAGTGAGATGGTTCCGTGTCTCATTGATCTTTCAGTGTAAAACTACGCACATCCACACTTAAAACGTGTTTTCTCTATAGAACTTTTGTGTAATACAAACGAACGTTTACAATAACCTGCAGTTGTTTTTTGAGTTGTCGCCGTGATAGTTGTTATGGTCGCGGTAGTATCGGTAGCTGAAACCATCAAGTAAAGACAAGTCAGAAAAGCCTACGGAGTTCAAGTCGATGTGATCAAGTAAAAAAGCTACTCGAAAACGTAAAGCAGCGTTTTCTTTGGTAATGTGTTCCAGTTAGATTTCAAATGTTTTGCAGCTGTACCAAAATTATACAATTTACAAGTCTAATGTTTTCGTCTGAGCACCACTCTGAAACTGTAAAAATAGGAGGCAAATTTCATGAACATTCACAACAGCAAAGTTTGTGACGAAACGCCGTTTTTGTACCAAAAAACATGCGGAATGAAACAAATTCAAGTGTATCATAGATAATAAATTTGAATAAAAATATGAAATAAACATTAAATATGTTTCAGACCTTCTGTAGAAAACTAAGATTATAAATATGAATTATATTATTTTAAACCATATGGAAGTCTTTTTGGGTAAATTCATATGAATCTGAAAGATTAGCATATAATAATATAAGGCTAGCAACTGACAGTAGGTGTTGGTCATCACTTTACCTGTGCAGCGTGGTGAGGGCGGTTAAGTAGAACAAAAGCAAATGAGAAACACAGCGGATTTCTAGCGGTAAATTATAAAAATGTTATTTTACGAATACCTAACTGTTAAGCTGGGAAACTTCACTTCATAAATATGCTCTACCACACTAAAAACTCGACTATTCGCAATTGCTCACTAATTTAGTTTATTTTTCCACGAGAATGATGCAATGCAATCACGAACTAGTTGGGCCTCAAGCTACAATGTATCCAGATAAGTAACCAAAGCACAAACAAACAAAATTTACAAGCGTTACGTGATGCTGTGCCGTACAACATCACTTGTCGCTATATCCTGGCAGGAGTAAATGTTCGACTTAAGTTAAAGAGATATGACTTGCCTTTCTACTCTTCCGGTGTGTCAGCGTAGAAAAACAGCTACTATTTACTTGTTGTGGTAGTAGTGATTGTTGTATCCGTACTGGTTGTCGCCGTTGTCGTTTGGGTTGTTGTTGCTTAATGACAGTCAAGAAAGTATAATGAAATTTAAGATAAATGACTTTTGTAACGCGCACACTGGTTCAGTTTGGCAGTGACCACTAAATATCTTTTTTCTTTCTACTTTTCCCTCAAGATATCTATAGCATAGTGAGAGAAGCGAAGCGGAATCATTTGGCGCAACGGCTGTTTTAAGCTTTTGATTCAGGGTTCTCACGATTCTCAGTCCCCCGGATATCACACTGGTATTTTTGAAATATGATAAAAGTTCATGTTCTGGCTTACCGTTTCAATCCAGAATTAGAATCCTAAACGTACTTACTCGTCGACGTAACAGACGTAGTTGTAGTAGTAACCGTCGTGGTTGTAGTTGCCGTTGTACCTGTAGGGAACGAAGTTCATTTTGCTGTATGAAAGTGAAGCCAAATTTTAAAATAAACCGGTTACAGCAGAGCCTCTGCAGTTAGACAAATGTTTTTTTCAAATACGGAATTATAACTGGCTAACACAGAACCTGACATTTTACGGTGGCTTGTACTTTGATCACTACAGTTTCAAAATCATATTGTACGTCGTCTGTCCGCAGTGAATGCAAAGCCGGACAATACATACTTGTTGTACTTGTTGTGCTCGTTG